TACCCGCCATTTAGGTATCTGAGGGACCGGTACAAGTGGGCCAAGCCCGGAAGCGAGAACGATTTTGCGGTTACGATCGCGAGCGAGTCGAGCGACGCGGGTGGGCGGTATTAGACTCTGTCCATCGCGCGATGCTCGTTGTTGCACTTGAAAATGAACTCCGCCGACTAATTGAGTGGAGGTGCTTAGACGGTGTCTGGTTGTTTTCTCATTGTTGTATGTCTTTTGTGTTTTCTTTGCGTGTTGGATTTCTTGTGTATGGGCGCTGTATGGTAATGAATTGCAATGGGATTTCTTGAATCGGGTTTAGCGTCCAATATTGGGGATAAAATCTGTTTGAAATAATCGAGCAGAGGCATCAGTGGCTGTGCACGCTGGTGCTTCCTTGCGCCCACCCAAAATAACAACGGTAAATATCGCACATTAAATCTTGGCTTCAACCACGATGTCACGCCCCACTAGACGAGTCCGAATTCTTACCGCTCTCGATGTTGCTGCGCATGCTACGTCTGGCGACTGCTGGGTCTCACGCGCTGGCAAGGTGTACGATGTGACGCCGTTCTTGGCTGACCATCCTGGTGGAGACGACCTCATTCTGCGTTATGCTGGCAAGGACATGGGGGGCGCGATGGCCGACAAGTCGGAGCATGATCACTCTGATTCTGCGTATGGGATGCTGGAGGAGTACGTGATCGGGCAGTTGGGAACGGACGCGACTGTTGTCAGTGAAGGTGAGCACCCGCAGCTTTTTTCATTCCCACACATTCGCCTCATGCTAACATTTTCCCTCCAGACTGGGTAGCCACAGACGATTTTCACCCAGACGACACCGACACCGCAGCCGACTACGAAAAAGCCCAGTTCCTAGACCTCCGCAAACCGCTCCTCCGACAAGTCTGGGAATCCAACTTTAGCAAGAACTTTTACCTCCAACAGGTCCATCAGCCTAGACACGTAAAAGACTCTGCGCGGTTATTTGGGCCGGACTATTTGGAGTGTTTTACGCGGACGGTGTGGTATGTTATACCGATTTTCTGGATCCCGATCGCGAGCGCGTTGTTTGTGAGGGGTGCGATGCAGTTTAGTTCGCCTGGGGAGGTGCCTAGTTTGTTTGCTAGTGCCCAAAGCCTATTGTTTGGAGGCGCGGCTGGGAACTCTACGTTGCTCGAGGACTTTGCACCTCCTAGTACAGGTGGGTGGAGCGCGAGCATTACGAATGCTGCGCTGGTCAAGACGGCGCTTTGCTTTTTGCTGGGGAACTTTTTCTGGACGATTATCGAGTATGGGATGCATCGGTTCATGTTCCATATCGACGAGTTGTTGCCGGACCATCCTGCGTTCCTTACGCTGCATTTCTTGACGCATGGGATTCATCATTACCTTCCTATGGATCAGTACGTCCCCACCACTTGTTCTCATAAATGGGAAGGGGTGCTAACTAGTGGTTTGGTTTGGTGTGTAGGTTGAGACTCGTTATGCCACCCCCACTGTTTGCAGCGTTGTCGTTCCCGTTTACGAGGCTTGCGTATGCTGTCTTCCCGGTTGCGGTCGCGAACGGTGTCATATCTGGTGCTTTTGCGTTTTGTAAGTTCGGGTCGCCTGCGCCGTGGAATGCTTGCACTAACACGTCGCCCTTGCCTGTCTTAGACGTCCTTTACGATTGCATGCATTATGCGCTACACCACACGAAGCTCCCGGAGTACATGAGGGAGATGAAGAAGTACCATTTGGCGCATCATTATAAGAACTTTGAGCTTGGGTTTGGGGTTACGAGTGAGTTGGTTTCTTTATAGTATTGGATAGTTTTGTGCTTGTCAGTTGTTGTTCGTGGAGTCTGCATAAAGTTCGAGCATTCTCTGGGTTGAGGGCAGGGGGAGTGGGTTACTACAATAGTTGTTCCAACTCTTTTGCTTCCCCTACCCCCACTTTTCGATCAGGTTGGGCAAAGGGTGCTCTCAACGCTTACCTGGCCTCGGCATGGTGTGTCGAGTCAAGTTGCGTTTTCAACTTAGCTCCCGTGTATGTTCGGCGAGACAGATGCGCCACTACATTTTTCTTCCATCGTCTACTTCTCTCTTATGTTTCCAATCGTTGTGGTTCGTTTACTACTCGTACTGACTCGATTTCTATTCCCTCTTCTTAGGCAAGATATGGGATTACGTCTTTGGGACGATGCTCACCGTGTGAATGCGGTCATTGCTCAGCGTATTTGAGGACCTATAGAAGTACCTTGCGCGATTGATTGGTTGAGATCTTGATGGAAGGGTGTGGCTATGAGCCTACAAGTGCGTTTTTCATTGGGATTGTAGTTAATTTATTGGTACATTCTTGTGTAGAGTTAATAATAATTGTCAAGTTTACCACGTTCGACTATGCAGTGTTTTCTACGCTCCCCTCTATGCCTTAGAGTTCAGGGTGACAAATAGCAAAATGGGCGATTGAACTTATTGACGTTGAAGCGATCAAGGAACTGGGGACCACTCGCAGCAATTTCAAGCCGGACAGAACGCATCAATCGAACGATTAGTGGCACTCGATTATCAAGACAATTGGAATGAAACTGATTCGCGTGCGAGTTTGGGCAATGGGCAGGGGCAGTGGGCAATAATACGGTAGTTTGGTGGGTGTTACGTTTCTCTTGCTTATGAGTCATTCATATTTTGCTCGGTTTTGAGGTTTGAGACTTATCCTCCTCGCCTGCTCTCTAGGACACAAGTTCGAGAGAGTGAAGTTCGAATACAGCACAACAACCAAATCCGAAGGGTGAGCATAAAGTAGCCGCATATCACGGATCCTGGTAGATTTGGCCACGCCAATAGGCTCGGTCAAATTCTACCTTTACTTGCACCTGTTTGGCGTTTTAGCCTTGCGACCCCCCCAAGCGCCACAATGACTCGAGCGAAATTGCATATAGTCGGGTACGACAGAAAGGTATATAAGACAGGCATTTCAGCGGTATAATGTTCATCATCACTAGCTCGACTTGCACTCGGTCCTGTGACCACTCGTGCCTGCAGACCGGTGTTTTTATCTTGCTCTCGTTTGACACTTGATCAACTCCACCACCACCGTCGTCCTCAACGATGTATCGGGCTACTTCTGTTCTCCTTCGTGCATCTCGCGTCCACACTGTTCCCTGCTCTCGCACGCTTTTGTTCTTCGCGCCTGCGTCCCCCGTTCGTGGTTTCGCAACTCACACCACGGCACCCTCGATTCGCTCCCTTAAGCCTTCGGCCTCGGAACTTGCAGCCCGCAAGCTCGGCCCGCGGAACGTCCGCCTTGCACTTGAGGCGCTTCAGAAAGACGGGATTGTCGCTCTCGAGGGCGTCGTTGGAGAGCGGGAGCTCGATGCCGTACGTGGTTTTAGTGCTCGTCCAAAATGAATGCATTGTACTCACAGGATAACCTATCGCTATAGTTGAACGCGCGGATGGTACCAGATGCGTATAAACTACGAGATATGGAGAATGGGCCGTATAATTACAATAGAGGTGCCGTGTCTCCCCCTTGGCTGGCGCTTTTTGCAGGAATTTAACGACGGTTTGTGGATAGGAAACGTTCAGCAGGATCCACCGCCGGAGCCCGACATGTTCTTCAAGGACGTATTCCTGAATCCGTTCGCTTTGCAAATAACCAATGCTGCGTTGGGGAGCAGGCCAAAGATGACATTTTGCAGTGGGGTGAGATTCCATATGCGTTCATGTCGCTTCCCCCCGTTCCTTTCAGTTTTTTCTTTTGGGCACCTAGGTGGGTGATGGTCTGACTGGTTATTTGTAACACGTAGAATACGGCCTTGAAAGCAACGGAACGCCAGCCTGTGCACACCGACGCGGATTTTGCTCAGCCAGCGGTGAGTTCGAGTGCTTGGTTTCTTTGAGGTGCTCTTAATCGACGCATAACGTTTACAGATCCCCTTCGCTTTAGTCGTCAATTGCGGATTGGTACGACCACATAATTCTGCAAATCACAGCATCGGCCATACTAACAATGCACCCAACTAGGTTGAGATGACTCCTGAAAATGGATCGACTGGTAAGCGCTCTGATCAAGCGTTTCCTCCATGGCTAATCGTCTTGATGGTAGAAATCTGGCTCGGTACGCATAATATGGCTGACCTGGATGCTCAAGAGGGACTTCATGGAGAGCGAGCTTCGGGCCGTATCAAAGCTTCCCACATGGAGGCACGACAGAAGATCTCACCTCCGTTTCAACCTGTTGTACCTAAAGGTAGACCAATAGTTCCCTATCATCTGACACAATGCTAACAGACGATGTTACAAGGTACAATCCTTCTACGGGACTTGAGGCTGTGGCACGCTGGGATGCCTAACAAGACAGATGATCCAAGGGTTATGCTGGCCCAAATTCGTAAGCCCTACCATGTAATACTATTATAACTCCTGACCAAACAACGTATTTCAGACTTTGCCCCCTGGTACATGAACCAAAGTACTTGTTTTCTTACTCTACCCCTTCCGTATACTAACTAGCTTGCCAGTGAAACTGGAGTTTCCCAAAGGCATGGAACAAGCACTCCAGCATCCCGATCTAGAGATGCCCAGCAATTTCGTAGACGGTCCCATCGAGTACCTTGGACGGGCTTATGGAAATGCATACGATTTTCGTCAGGTCGAGACAGATAGCTGGAGTACTGAATAAGTGAATACAAGTTAATTCCGACCTAAGAGGGCACTAGGATATCGGGCGAGGGGATACATCGAATGCGCATACACGAGCATGTATATTATGATTTACCTTGTTCGAATGAAATGACCACCACTTTTTTCTGTACAATCTAGTGAGACTTTAGAGCTGTGGCGGCTGGGGCGACTGGCTTTATGGAAGGAACTGACTTTTGTATTATCAAATTACCTTGTCTAAGCTACATGATTCTCCGTTTTGTGGCATTTTGTTTTGGGATCCAACGGGGGATTCCACAACTACACATACTGCTAGATAGTTCTAGCAGATGATATCTATACCAGCTGACTCCTTTGCAAGGGCATGTAGCGCAGTTGGTAGCGCGCTCGCTTAGCAAATAACTAATCCAAAGTTGATTACTTGCGAGAGGTCTTGGGTTCAATTCCCAACTTGTCCATTCTTTTTTCTCTCCCCCTCCCTGTCCGTTAAATGTCAACAAAAAAAATGATGCCGCACTCTTAGTGAGTAAGTCTTTTGAGTTGCCCGTGAATAGACTTCTTATTTTATCCCCCATGCTGTCAAACCAATGGCCAATCCAGTTGCAAGAATGAGTCAGATTCCGATACCCCCGGCAGATACGTATTCCCGAGCATTCAAAAGCGGTTGCGACCACGGTCCGTGGCAAGGTGACCCCGGGAATACGGTGTCATCACAGCTTTGACAATTGCTGTAACCGCGCGGGATGGGAACCACACACGCTGGTTTGTCGTGCAGTCGTCAGCCTCTTATCCTCCGCCATAGTATACTCCTCCGCTTTTGTGTTGCGCAAGCCTACGCAACCGGCACGACGAAAAATACAACAACAATGGGTATAAATACGAGGGTATGCGGGCTTCATGTTCTTCATTCTACCGTTTCTTCATTTGGGCTCTACTTGACTTTTATTCAACTCGACTAAGTCACAATGGGTGCGGCCTACAGCATGTACAAGGAGACCTTTCCAGGGAGGCCTCGTTGGTCAATCGACCAGATACCTGACTTGACCGGCCAGGTTATCATCGTCACCGGGTATGTAGATAGCCATACTCGTGCGAGACTTGCTATTGACAGAAAGCATCGCAGTGGGAACGCAGGCATTGGGAGGGAGACTTGCAAGGTAAAGTTCTATCCGCCTATCTTAATTTTGCACAACGTTTATCGGGCCGCCTTTTGTAGGTTCTTCTCAACAAGGGTGCCAAAGTCTACATGGCAGCACGCAGCAAGTCTAAAGCCGACGAAGCCACCGAATGGATCCGAAAAGAGACAAACGGCAAGACACCCGTTTTCCTGGAGCTGGATCTAGCGAGCCTGGATAGTGTTCGTCGAGCAGCTGAGGAGTTCAAACGGTACGTCCCACTCCTGTTCATCCAATAAATGCCTCACATCTTACGTGGTACGCATGTGGGCAGAAAAGAGAAAGAGCTTCATGTGCTATTCAACAACGGTGGAGTGATGGCTCCGCCGGTCGAGATGAAGACATCAAACGGATACGACGTCCAGTTCGGGACGAATGTGCTTGGGCACTACTTGTTCACTATGTCCCTCCTACCAGTTCTCATTCACACTGCTGAGATTCGTAAGTGAATCTCTCCGCGCGCTTACAAAAACTACCCACTGATTGATATGTTTCGAAGACGGCAGCGTTCGCGTGGTGAACACATCTAGCAGCGCACATTGGGCCGCGCCCAAAGGAGGGGTCAACTTTGCCACTCTTGTCCCTAACGATGCGCAGGCGGACGAAACTAGGAAGAAGCTTGGCACACAGCGGCTGTATGCTCAGAGTAAATGGGTGGGTCAACTCGCCTAGCCGCCTTGTGTGTCTGAAACTTAGCGTCATAACCTTGATAGGGGAATATTGTGTTCGCGAACGAGTTTGCGCGCCGATACAAGTCTCAAGGGATCATCTCCACCTCTTTGCACCCAGGTAAGACTAGCATGCCATCTCTCCTGGTTGGCTAGGCGAATTTACAAGCGTGCGTTGTTTAGGGTTGATCAAGACCGAATTACAAAGGCACTTGACGCTTGGCGGGATCGGAGAAGCGCTCTTCGTACGCCCCCATTTCCGCTTTCTTGGAATCCCACGGCGCTATTTACTCACAATACTCACCCAAATTAGAACGTGTTTCTTCGGCCCACTTCGTACGGCGCTCTCACCCAGCTCTATGCAGGAACGACGTCTGAAGGGCTAGCTTTCTCTGGAAAGGTAAACACTACTCTTCCTTTCCCCGAACTCCCACTTTACTAATCGGTTGCTCAAACTATAGTATCTCATTCCTTGGGCCCGACTGTCCAAGCCTCGCGCTGACACAAAGGATGAAGCAATCGCAAAGAAGCTGTGGGAGTGGCTTGAGGAGCAGGTGAAGAAGAACTGAGGACAGGTTATCGTAGTTTTCGCGGGCAGGGCTCTGTACAGCTGATATAGCTTAATAAATTTCTTTTTGGGTCTTTAATCAGTGAGCCATAATCTTATGTGATAGTTTGTGGTAGGCTCAAAGTTGAGCGGCTCTGGAGTTGCAGTAATGCAGCTAGTCACGCGGAAAAGAGCGCGCATTAACTGCGCAACCGGCTGTATGCGTGAAGTATAAGGTGAAATTGCCCTCAGCGTAGGTCCAAAGAAGAGGTTACCTAAAACACATCACATTATAAGATATCTTTGGCTTGCGTGCGTTAGGATAATACAACGAAGTCAGGTACTGTTAGATTCCCCTACCCACATGGCGAATCCAAGGCGCTGACTCGAGCTCTTTGTCAATCGAAACGTACAGTTCACCCACGTCCTTGGAACACAACTGGGTGCTGCTCAGGTATTAGGGGTTCTACGTATGTTTCTCCCATTGAGAATAGAAGGAAGATTCTTGAGACGTTGTAAGGGGTCATTACGCTCCCTCAACACCGAATTGTACCCGTTCAGAATGTGGGGCGACCCTCGTGTCCGCCGTGTCTAACGATGTTGCTGTTGGTGTGACCGTGTGCGTTTTATACAACCTAACAGTCGTAGATAGGGACCGAGAATGAAACAGTCCCAGTTTGAGATACCGCGACAATACAGATCGAACGGTAGACCAATACATGTCTGGTGGTTATTATCAGGAAGGCGATGATAAGACACCCGAAATTTACAACTATCGGTTTTCGATCCTGCATCTTTGGATAAACGCTGCCCGAAAACTGACACTATTACTACCAAGCTTTTCAATTAGATTTGGATATAATGTAAGTATAACACTAGCACAGTTTGAGTGGCATGAATGGGATTAGAAAAGGACCCTATCATTGAAACAGCTTCGTACCCTCCAATCCCCTTTCATTATCTGAAATTTCAGCTTTCTCAGCGCCGGCTGGGCCTGACTTTATATCGCCTTCCTCCCATAATATCTGGGCTCCCACAATACGCCTGCGACGCTCTAAACCATCTAGAGTCTCTTTGATTTTGGCCCGGTTAGTACCAATCATTATACATTGAGGGCGTCAATCTACCTACTGAGCTGCTATCGGGCAGTATGACTTGCCGCCTTATGTACGTCAAACGTAGGACCTATCATGTTCCCGGCTCTGGCTCTCTGGAACGTCCCTGCCGTGTGCAGGGAATTGCATGTATATAAATCGGGCCTCGTGCGGCCGATTCTTTACGGCTGTACCATCGGCGCAAATCGAAAGGGCTACGCATAAAATATCCTCCAAGTTAGTACACGTATTTTTGTTCGATATAGGTCACTTACAGCTTGTTGTATCAAGCCCATGTCGCTCTAGGCTGGATATATGCTCCTTGAGCGTCATTATTTCCATCGCACTGGCGTCTGCTTGTGCTTGGAGTATCTTTAGCCCATTTTCAGCGCCGTATTGAGCATTATGGGATTCAGAAAGTTTCTTGCGTGTGAGATCCAACTGAGCTTGAAGTTTTTCAATCTGCGAAAGGTTTGATTAGCCAAAAAGTACTTTACACCACGCTAACCAACGCACCTTAATTTTGGCTCGCTTTTCTCGTTGTATACTACTCTTATAACGCTTCTTGAGGGAATCAAAAAGTTTGTTCTTTTGTTTCAGAGCTACAGCAGGAGTAATGTAATCGGAAGAGGTGGAGGTTTGTGGCGCGCCACCTGCACGGCCATTCTCCGTAGCTGAAGAGCGTGGGCCACCCATCGATGACAATGATTTTGTGTGTGCTTTCTGTAGGGCTGAGCGAGTCTTTCTGGGGCGTGCATTGTACCTGGGCATGTTTGGGGTAATTGGAGTGGTAGAGTTGGTGATGAAGAGCTGGGCACGAGCACGATGCTCAAGAGTCTGCTTATATAAGCAGGTGATCTTGCTAGAACCTGCGTGCACCTTCCTGCATGCATCTCAAAAAAAAACTTAGAAGAAATGAAAATTTAATATAAGAGTATCATAAGAATCTTAAGAAGGAATTGGTGGAGCCGAACTGACATTTAAAGCCGGTAACAAGATTTTAGCCTACCAGAATACCTCAAAAAGAACGACTACGAAAGACCCTGTTTCCATTTCGGGACAGCTGTTTGGTCGATTTCACCTGGGCGCCAAATGCTTACGTATACTCCGAGGTTGCGCCAGCCAAGCCAGCTCCGATAATCATTAGTCAGACACGCGTACCCGCATGCCCGGCTGTGGACAGGCATGCCCGGGCATTCAATACAGTAACCACAGTCTGCGGGAGGTTATCTCCGCACAAACAGTGTCATCGCGGCTTTGACAATCGCTCTAAGCGCGCGGGACAGGAACCACACCCGCCGGTTTGCCGTGCAGTCGTCAGTCCCTCCTCTTCCGTTGCAGTGTATTCCTCCACTTTTATGTTGCGCAAGCCTACGCTGTCGGATCGACAATACACAGATCAGCAGCAATGACTGGTATAAGTACGAGGGTGGGTGGGCTTTATGTTCTACATTCCGCTTCTTCACTCAAATATCACTCGACCTTTATTCCACTCGACTAAACCACAATGGGCATGGCATACAGCATGTACAAGGAGACCTTCCCTGGGAAGCCTCGTTGGTCAATTGACCAGATACCCGACTTGACTGGCCAGGTTATCATCGTCACTGGGTAAGTAGACAACAGTACTTCTACGAGGCTCAGTATTGACAGAAAGCGTTACAGTGGGAACGCAGGCATCGGGAGGGAAACCTGTAAGGTATGTTTCGGTCCGCCTGTTCTCATGGTTATAGAGTATTTATTGGGATATTTCATGTAGGTCCTTCTCAACAAGGGTGCAAAAGTCTACATGGCAGCACGCAGCAAGTCTAAAGCCGACGAAGCCATCGAATGGATCCGAAAAGAGACGAATGGCAAGACGCCTGTGTTCCTCGAGCTGGATCTTGCCAACCTGGACAGTGTGCGCCGAGCAGCTGAGGAGTTCAAGCAGTACGTCCTGCTCTTATCCCCTAATGAATGCCTCGCGTCTTACGT